GATGGATAAATTATATTTAAATCCCTTCATACTTGTCATTTAATTATTTGGATCCCTCATATTTAAAATATTATTCATACACCTCTTGACTGTTGTTCACGTATAACGTATAACTTATTGTCGTTGATATTTGTTATTATAATCATTAATCCTAAAAAAAAATTATAATTTTATACTACAATTTTTTTTGTGAACCTGTTATACTTTAAAGTTCAAAATCAAACTTATCATTTGAATATCTAATATAATGTAGATATTTATATAATAATGTTATATCTAATGCAATACATCACGTAAATAAAATTATATTAATGCCCAATTCGAGAATATTTTTAGTCATATTTAGATTTTCAAGGAATAAAATATATTATTTTAAAGGATTAATTGTAAATTACACCCTAAAAGATTGTTCGAATCTCAATTTGCATCCTCTAATATCAATAATTTTAATTTGCACCCTTAAAGATAGAAATTTGTTTCAATGTGTACCTTAAAAGATTAAAAATCTCAATTTACATCCTAAAAAATAGAAATTTGTATCAATGTGCACCTAAAACTAACCGCTGTTAGTTTGCTGCCTAAAATTAAATGATAAATTATACCCAGATCCACTCATGTTTGTCACTTAATCATTTGAACCCCTTCACGTCTAGAAAATTACTCATACATCTTATGACATTTGTGCACGAGTAATACGTAACCCTTTTTCGTTGATATCTGTTAATATACCTGTTAAAAAATATGATTTTATCCTAATAAAAAATATAATTTCATATTACCTTTTATTTTGTGGGTGCAATATACTCTAAAGTTCAAAATCAAACTTACCATTTGAATGTTCAATAGAATGTAGGTATTTATATAATATTTTTTTATATGTAATGCAATATATCACTTAAACATAATTATTTGAATGACCAATTGGGAGGACATTTTTATATGATTTTATCCCAATAAAAAATTATAATTTTATATTACCCTTTATTTTGTGAAAGAGGTCCAAATGATTAAGTGAAAAGCATGAGAGGATTTAGATATAATTTATCAATTTAGTTTTCAGCAACAAATTGACGACAGTTAAATTTAGGTGCACATTGATATAAATTTCTATCTTTGGGGTGCACATTAATATAAATTTTTATATTTAAGGGTGTAAATTGAGATTCGAACGATCTTTTGAGGTATAATTTATAATTTATTTTATTTTAAATGTGAGGGGCCTAAATGATTAAATAACAAATATGAAAAAGTGTAGGTATAATTTATCTGCTTAATCTTAGACGGAAACGTTTGAAGTATCATTAATATAAATTTTTATTTTTAAAATTTTAATCTTTAAAGATATAAATTGCGATTCCAACGAGCATGATTAATTCGTAAAGCACTACCATGTCATGTCACTCGTCCGTTCTGAACAAATGGTTCCCCTAGGGTTTCTCTTCCCAATTCCTTAGCCAGAGATACCTCTCTCTCTCTTTCTCTCTCTCTCTGAATATCAGTTTTCTGCAAAACACAACCTTTGGATGTTTAATTTTTGTGCCATTCTTTAAACCCCATCCCTAATTGCTCGAATGCTCTGCTCTCAGTTATGGTAATGTGACCAAACTGAGAAAACCACCAAATTCAAGGGAAATTTGTGTACTTTTGCGAAGTTTATAAAAACGGGTAAGTGAATTTCGGATTTTCTGGCAGTGTGTAATATTTGTTTTACATTTCTGATTTTTATTCTCCTATTCTTGTGCATTTGTATTTCATATGTTAGCTTTGTTAGTGAATGAAGTGATTAGACTCTTTATCTTGTGTGAAACTATGAATTATAGCTAGGTATAGTCTGGCTGTTGTACAGTAGTGAGAGGATCAATTGCTTTGTGTGTGCACTATTTGTGTAAGGTTTTGCAGTACTACATGCAGTTATGGCTGTTGTGCTCTGTCTGATCAGTTTGTGTCAAGAAAAAATGTAAACTACATTACTACTATCCCAGCCAAAGTTCATGATGATATTTGGTGAATCAGAGGCTAGCAGTGCAAAATAAAACAGCTTACTTTCTTTTCTGCAATACTGGAAAGCAGTGGAATATATTATGTATTTATGCTTATGTCTAAGAAAGATGGTTTTGCTTACCAGTTTCTACATTAAGCTTAAGGATGAAGTCAGTCCTTGTGTTATTAATCATCTGACAGTACTTGTATTGGAGGTCATCATACTTTGTTATGCATATTAATGACTGCCTTGGGATGAATTTTTTGATATCGTGGCCCTATAATTAGGCTAAGTTGTAAGTGGTAGCTCTGTATCTAAACTGAAGTTGCACTTTTGGGATGCATGTGTTGCGCGAACTTTTTCATTGTTCATATTTTGCTTTGACTAAAATTCAAAACCAAAGCATTGCCCACATCCTTTTCTTTATATTCACATACAAAGGCATCAATATATCATACATGAGTTGATAATTCAAGATGTACAAAAAAAAGATGATAATTCAGAAGATGCTCTAGCCTGCAGTTTGTAAAATGTATTCCTAATCAGGCATGGACAAGCTGGAATTGATTCAATGCTATTGAAATTGATTTTGGGGCTATGAAATCGGTATTTTGTTTTAATAGTTTACTTTACAATAGGATATCTTAGAGAAGAATTCAAATGAATGTCTTGTAGCAGAAATATTAGTAACCTCTTATGGCCTACATTACAGTTACTATCTCTGAAGAGGAGTCAGGGTCTCCTGGATATTTTTCTTAGTTAAGAACTCCTGTGTGTCATAGTATCCATCAAGTCGTCCACATAGCTGGTAGGCATTCCTATTCCATTCTTCATTCTTTGGCTGTTTTTTAAACCTCTTTATCTGATCTATCTAATCTGTACATCAAGAGTATTGCTGTTTTCTTGTACAGATGCTACTCTTTCCTTGGTTTTTGTTTTGATCTTGTAAAGCTGATGGTTTTGTCCAAAATTATTTGTTTGGCTGGCCATGCTGGATCTTCTAGTTTTCGGCTCCCTTAGTACTGTGTTTGCCAACTCTCAGTGGGGATGTCTTTGCTAAATCCGTAGTCTTCTTTTAAGACAGTATTACCTGTGATGCCTTCTTTTAGATTACTGTATCATGCAGGAGTATCATGGCTAAATTACTCTGCATCATTTCTGGATCATATATTATGCACTTTTATTAGCTAGCTTTTCAATATTTATGTATGCCATGAACCTATTGTATGCTTTTGATTTTTTTTCCCAATTCACATAACTGCTTATACATGATTGTCAGTCTGCTAGTTAGATGGCATTCCGAAGAAATGGAGATATATTAGAGATGGAACCTGATCCCGCTACTTGGACTACCTTGGAGGAGAAAATCTTTATTCAGTTAATGGTAAAAGAGGGTCAAAAAGGAAATAGATCCTCAACCACCTTTTCAAGGAAAGGTTGGAAACATATTGAACAAGAGTTCTGTCAGAAAACTAAAAAGAGGTACAACAACTGTCAATTTAGAAATAAGTTTAACCAGTTGAGGACCCGTTATCATGATTTTAGCAAGCTGTTGAAAGAACCCGGGTTTACTTGGGACCCTGTGCTCAACAATGCAACTGCAACTGATGCTGTATGGGAATCATATATAAAGGTGAACACTTAATATCTAAACAGTGAATTCAGTAGTATTTGTCTTTCAGAAACTCCAAAATGTTGATGTTGAAGTTGTGCATTTCTTGATGTAGGCAAATAAGAATGCGAAGAGATTCCGGAAAAAGGGGTGTCCCATGTTTAGTGAATTGGGATTCATATTTGGTTACCCAATGGCAAAATGCAAAGATGTGTTCCCTTTAGCTCAGTATCCTTTATTTAGTGAAGACAAATTGGAGTCAGAAGATGAATCAACAAATGCTACTCCAACTGCTTTCCAAAGTGACAGTAGTGGTGATAAAGATTGTCCAGTGCAAAGTACTGGATGCCAATGGCAACGATCTCCAACTCCAACAAGCAATCTTCGAGGGAAGAGGGAGGCAAGGACCGTAGTGATGGGAGAGGCTTTGAATGAATGGACTGAAGCCACAGTCCCCTCAGGGACATCCAAGAAAAGATCTGCTGAAGATACAAATGTGAAGACACCAACCTTGCACAAACCCAAGGCATCCCCCCATTCTAGTGCATTCTCAATTACCAATTGTGTTAAATGTTTAGAGTCAATTGAAGGTGTGGATGCAAGTACCTATCTAAAGGCACTTAAGATGTTTAAGGACGTAGATTGGAGGGAGATGTTTATGGCAATGTCGGCGGAAAGAAGAATAGTTTGGCTGGGTAGCTTAGAATGATTGCTTGAGATCTTTATGTTTGTACAATATATGTTACCAATAGGTACTTCTATAGTTGATGCATCACTAGCCTTCTCGGCTTGGTAAATTTATTGTAGATTGGATGGAAACATGTTTTGAGACGTTCGATCTTTCATAGGTGGTCATTGAAATCTGTGATCGCATTGGGAAGGGATTAACACTTTATTTATCTAATACCCGGGAGATCATAATTCATGCAGGAGAGAGAGAGAGAGAGAGAGAGAGAGAGAATAGATTATATGTCTACCGTAACATTTATCTAAGAAAGAGTTTCTAGTTTTTCAACAAAAAAGAGGTGAAATTAGACACACAAAGACCTCATAGCCGGCTTGCATCCTAGAAATTCTTTTGTTTTTTTTTGTTTTTGGATTGATCAGTTGTTTTTTGTTTTTATTTTTTAAAAATTAAAAAAAAAAAAAAGAAGTTAAATTTAGAGAACAAATTAAAGTTATTTTATGATTTTTTAAAAATCACTTTTCCAAAATTTAGCAAAAATCATCACTATCACCGCATTTTTGTTTTTATTATTTTTAGAATCATAATACCAAAGAAGTTTTGATACAAAAAACATTAAAACATACCTTTTTTAAAAATCTTCGCAAAAATAATTTTCAAATACTATTTTTTTAAGATGCAAACCAAAAAACATCGTCTTGCATTCCAATTTTTAATGGCAGCTTGAGTTTGTTGCGGGGACTATGCCTTCTTAATGAACAATTGAACATACATGAAAGAACTTGAAAACAAAAGCAATTTAGTTATTGCTATTGACCAAACGAGGCAATACCTAATGCTTGAAGCGTCCATATGTAGCGAGTTTAGAAGTCAAAATATACATCCATCCAAGCAATACATCACAAGTTGGGAGTCCAAGAATCAACCACACCGAGATATCACATCGCCATCATAATCTTCCCCAGTCCCACACTGATTTCAGACAGTAATCTGTCCGTATAAACACGCAATTTAACATCCTAGACAATAGATGGTTCCGGGGTGTTGGCAATGACTTAGTTCAGACCAAGACCCTTACAAATTGATGGGCATTGAAACGAGTACTGTGCAATAGTCCAAGGCTACAGGACTTTGCAAGATCTCCATTTACGCTTATTCCTCCCAACGGTGGCCTTTAACAACAATGCAAGCCATCAAATTAGTTAGTGCATACCTGTAACAAGGCAAAAAGTAAATATGCTTCCACAAAATGCACCAATAAAGATATTACATCAGTTAGATCCTGTTATCGATCATTTTACGATGATCGAATAAACAAGTCATTTAGTAAGGCGAAAAAATGATATCCGGAGGGCTGGTCATGGTTCCCGATCTTGTCCCTGCTTGCTAAATCTGTCCTACACTAGTTGGTTGCCTAATGGCACAATCCCTAAATGCATGTCAATTTCTTTGAGCTGAACATTTGAGATGCTGCAAATTTCACTCTCAAAATTGGGAAACAAAATGGTTGGTTGGACAAATGCTTCATGTTTAAGTTTCTGAATTCTCTGTAATGCACCTTTGGGTATGTATCCCCATTCCACATTAGCTCAGGGGATTATCAGTCAAAGCAGCAGCATGCTGGTATAACAACATATGTTGTAGATGTGAATTAACTTGCAGGGTAAAGGAATGAATGACATACAAAGATCGGGTTTTGGACTCTCATGTAAAACGACATAAACAGCAGGGAACTTGTATTAAACCCAAACATCCTACCTTTATATACTGAATGGCCTAGTTTAAGTAAGTAACAAAGCAAAGATTCTTACTATTGAGCCTCTGGAAACTATCTCAAGCTTTCGGCCTCATTGAAATCCCACGATATCTCTTCGTGTTGACATTGTGTTAAATCAATATTAGGTACTGGCTCGATATCGAAATCAGGCTTTTCAAAATTGCAAAGAAGAGGACTACCATAAGAAAAGTTAAAAGATTGTAATCACAAAGTTGGTGAAACAATTTCATCCGACAAGAAAGATATACCTGCCATTGTTGCAACAGATGCCACAACAAAAAATCAATGATCATAACCAAGCAAAAAAGTTTGCCCGCCCAAGCTCCACATGTCATGTATCTAGAACAGATTATTCGTCAGTAAACTTGAGTATCGCTTTGATATTTGACTATGATAACACTGAAATTCTAGAGATGACTTGATGAGTATCAGATTAGAATAGAATAAATGATAAATATTTATATTGGGATTTTTATTTATTTAGATATAATTTTTTTGTTATCTTTTAGTAGTAGGGTTTGATAAGGAATCTTTGATCTTAAGACTTTTTGAGTTCCCTATATAAGGGGGTTCATGTTATTATTTTTAGGTAAACTAGAATTATTGAATAACTAGTCATTACCCGTACCTAAAGGCACTCTTAACAAAAAAAATTTGTCAAGCAAATGAGACATTCAAAAATCTCTTAAATAAAAGAAGTGCAAGGATTGAAATGATTATATACCATTAACACAATCCGAAAATCTCTATGAACTTAAATTAACACCATTACAAAATTATCTTACCATATATTTATTTATGGCGGCTCTTCTTTCCAATGAATGTTCATTTTTTCAACCTCTTACTAAATCTAATGAATAGGTTGTCTAGTTCACATTGAATTACAAATTAAATATTCAAAAAAGAGAAAACAAAACCCAACTGAACTAACAATGTCCAGCAAATCTGCTTGTAGTTGCAAAGACAATTGATTTAAATTATCTGCAGTTATGACTTATCGAATGCTACAAAAATATTCTCACTCTGCAATTAAACCAAATCAACAAAAGCAAAATTTCACCACTTAAAAAAAATTGATTTAACTGACTTTTATATCGTTTCTGTTTTTATTTTGCACTATTCAAATATTTAAAAAATATGAACATTATCAAGAGGAAAGCAATGCAAATAAGGAAAAAAAAATTGATAGTTGATTTAGACTTCTTTTTTTTTTGTGCAATTAGTTTCACTTATTTGTTTTTATTGGTCATTGATATTTTTTTCATTAGTAATTAGCTTAACTTTGAATTTTTTTATCGGTGATTAACTTGACTTTGAATGTCTACAACCTAAGAATTTTTTTTTAATAGTTAAATATTTTCTCATCCATAAAATCATACAAATATTTTGAGTAAATAAGTCCACTTAGGATCACCAAAACAAATAATGTTAAGAGAGAGTATGAGGTAGCACTGTTTGTCTTGACGATCCTAATTAAACTTTTATTCTATCTCATCTATATATAGAAAGAGAGAAAAAGTATGAGAGATGAGAGAGGGTGTTATAAAATGTCAGTGAGAGAGACAAAGAGAGAAAGAGTTATACACATATGAAGAAAAAGAAATATAGCATGTTAAGCGAGAGAATATGAGATAGCATTGTTTGTCTTGACGATCCTAATTAGATTTTCATTCTATCTCATTTATATATATATATAGAGAGAGAGAGAGTATGACAGATGAGAGAATGTGTGTTTAAAATGTCTGTGAAAGAGGGAGGGAGAGAGTGAGTTATATATGTATGAGAATTGGGTGTATGAGATAGAGAGAGAAAGAGAGTTATATTAGATATGGAAGTCTTAAAGTTTTAAAAGCAATGAAAGTCCAATTAGAATTGTCAGATTAATAATCCTCAATCGATCTGAGCCGCGAAAAATTCAAGACAAATAAATCTAGCTACTTTATTATATAGATATCGAGAATTGTTTCTCCTTAACTGTTCCTCAACCCCTTCTGCCAAGTAAAAAAAAAGCACCAATTACCTCGGGTGATGAATCAATAAACTTAGAAAACAAGACTCACCCCCAACAACTGACACCAGTAGTTTGGTTGCAGCTTCAATTTTAGAAGAATCTGAACTGTTAAAGCATCTCAAGAGCAATTTAAGATGGATCACATGTCCACACACCCAGATTTTCACGTTTCAGAGAATAAATGTCAGGTGACTATTAAGATGGTTTACAAGGATCTCACAATAAAGGATAGATACATTTTAGTGGACTTGTTTCTGTTACCATAAATCTCCACAAGCAGTCCAGTTACCATTCTTAAATCAAACATATGAACTTCAGTGGCTTACCGGGATAGTCGTTCTAAAAGATTCTGACCGGAGCATCTCAAAGCACGGTCATACACAATCACTGTCCTTTTGGCAACATCATGCCAACTGTACAGTTTTTTCATCTGGCAGTGAATAAAAGAAACAAAAATAAATACAACTGACAAAAATAACTTAAAAAGACCACATATAATCTGGAGGATTCACCTACGCGAAGGTGCATAGCTTGAGGGTCAATTTGAGGAAGTCTGTCTATTGCCTTCTTGATTGCTTGTACCATATCACTAGGATCTGGCTCAGCGAGAACAATCATGTCATCTGGTAGAACCTAATGTAACAAAAGGAAAGTAGTAAGCAAGCCAGGATGTCATCTAAACATATCCAGAATTGCTATTATTCCATTCAAAAACTTATCATCTCTGCTCAGATATAGGCAAAGTGAAAGACAACATATAAAAATCCATGCCTCTGGGACACCTCCCACACGTGTACTGACTGTCAATAATCCACAACTAGCAGCCTCCAGTATGGCTATGCAAAATGCTTCTGTTAAAGAACTGATACAAAAATTTCAAAAAGAGAGGAAGAAATTAAGGGGATTAATTAAATGCTTGTGTTAAAGAATTGACACTAACATTTCAAAAATCAGGAGAAAAATTAGGGGATTATTTTCAAGAAGAGGGCTTCTTAAAGTCAAGGACAACCAATCAGCAAATATGCACATTTATGCACAACTCCATAGTAACTTCCAGATTGCAAAATTATGAGTGACATTGAGCTACAATGGTCTATCTATACAGTTTACCTTTGGAGGTCGGAAGAAGTATTCTTGAGGCTCACATTAAGGCAAGGCAGTCCAAAATCACACTCAGTTTTATTAATATTAAGCCAGAAATTGGGCAGTACTATTACTGGGAAATGGCCATTTCTTGAGAAAGGCAACAGAGTTTTCTACAAGGCTGTACTAGGTGCTATTGGTTTGATAGAAATTTTTACATTTTTGCGTCCGTCATTCTCTAATTTTTAGTGCATATAAATTTTGAATATCACATAACATACATGCATGCAATGCTATCATCTAAAGGATATACTAGTTATCACTTCCTCAATATATTCCAAGTTTCGTAGAAAAAAAACTGGATGAATAAAAAAAACCATAATACCTGTTTAAGAATATATGGCCAGAAATCAAGACTGACCGTACTTTGGCATGTGGAACAGCACCTAACATATCAACTCGATCTTGGAGAGAGTGCTTTTCCCTCATCTCTTCCAGCCGAACTCTCTTTGGTCCATCTCCTCCAACAATAAAACGAACCTTGAAATATGTTTCTAGATGAGATGAATGAGTTCAAAATATACATAGAAATGTGGTCCCTTTTACATAATTAATAGAAATTCCAGAATCTTTAACAAACATTCCCCCCCCCCAAAAAAAAAAAAACAACACACACGCACAAAAAAAACACAATTTAACGGACTTTGATATATGTCTAGATGAGATGAATGAGTTCAAAAGATATATAGAAACGGGGTATCATTTACACAATTCATATAAATTCCAAGATCTTTAACACCCCGGGAGGTGGGGGTGTTACAAAAGAAAGTAGAATAAGAAAACAAAATCATTGATAGACGTTCCACTAGTGCTGGGCACACATAGGACAGCAAACCCTGTTCCAAAGCAATGTTTTCGTCATGTCGAGAGCCCAAACACTTATGTCGCATTCAGTAACTATGAGGTCTGTGCACAGACCTACCTCTACAAGCAGGTTCTTCCCAAATTTGTATTATGACATGAAAATGAACTAGAACAGACCTACTCAATCTCAATTATTACCATATGCAATTTAGGACTATGCACAGTAGCAATTACATTGAACAAAGAAATCAATTGTCAATGCAGTATCTCTCAGCCAAAACAACTGATAAACCAAAACTATCACCCAAAACTTTGGAGTAAAGTCATTAAATCACAGTGGTTCAAGTGCACATCTAATAGAGGTTGCAGGGTCAGGCGTTAGAGTCTCATTGCCAACACTCTGTGTCTGTGTCTGTGTGTGTATGTGTTTTGGTTGGGAGGAGAGGGGGAGAGAGAGAGAGCATATCAGTTGATATATTTTTACCTAAATAATTTTTCGGGATGCTATCATTATTGGCATAATACCAAAGGCATATGAAAAATTAACTGGAAATTCTGTAGTACTGAAGCTTTAATCAATTGAATTAATACCCCTCTGATGCACCTTTAAATATCTACCAGCAAGTGAATAGGCAATGCCATAAATGCATTGCATAAAGGTATCTGAAAGATGGATTGAACCTTGGACATATAATAGTTCCGAATCAAATCTCTTTAGAAAGAAGATCGTTTGTCTCATGGTAGCCTGCTCCAGTCTCCTTACGAAATTTTCGTTATTGAGTTAGCCATACACTTCACATGTTTCTAGCAATTCACATGGCATCATCAACCCCAAAAGTTGCCAAACATGGAAGGCTCAAAAATAGGACCCCTGAATGAAAACTTAGATAAACACTAAAATGGTCCAAAAGACTCACATTTTGATACAGGCGACATACTTCAGGTATAACTTCAACAAGCAGATCTGCACCCTTCCGATAAACCAATCTACTTATCACAACTATAACAATTTCATCACTGCTGAGTCGCTCTGGAGCAGGCTTGAACATCGCTGTGTCGACAGCATTTGGTATAACAAAAACCTTTTCTGGTGGCAGTCCTGACCTTAGAACTGTGTTCTCTTTACTTGTATGAGAAACACAAATGGCCTGGCTAACATCTGCTAGAGTGAATTGCAATACCTTGTTCATGTGAATGCTCCCCACATCAGCAAAACCATAAAGTGAATGATCAGTAAATACAACTCTGTATCCCATAGTGCGTGCATGCATCAGAGCCTCATGACAAAGAGTTGAGAAGGCTTGATGTCCATGCACCAAAGATATCTTTTCCCGAACAAGAATTGTCCTTACAATTGGAAGTGTCCCATAAAAAGTGGGCAATGTGTTCTGCATAAGAAATGGTTTCCACGGTATATAGTAAACTTTCAGGCCACCAGTCATGTACCTCACCCCAGAACGGTTTTCATAAGCATGAGTCATGACCACGACCTGAAAATTCAGTTGATCAAGTCCATTTAAACATAAGTACAATGGGCATGAATCTGATGCATAAGATGATGAACTCTTAAGCAAAAGGAAATTTTCACAAAACTATTAGCTAGTAAGAAGCTATGTCCTTTCCAAATAGTCCACTAATGGGAAAATTCTCTGGATTAAGAAAGGAGGGGGAGGGGGTGGGGGTTGTTCTTTCCTGAACTTCTATTCAAACTATCTCAACTAAAAGAAGACTATTTTTTTTGTATTGTCTTTCCTTTCTACCAATACCAGTTGCATTTTTTTTTTTAACCAATACCAGTTGCATACTGATGCCTAAATGATAACAAATTTAACATGTTCTCTAACCTTGTGTCCTAGCTTAAGTAAGCATTGCGATAGGTAATAAATGTGATTCTCCACACCACCAAAGTTGGGATAAAAAAAATCAGACACCATCAAAATTCTGAGTTTTTCCTGATCAGACATGAGGTCTGATATCTCAATCCCTGCAAGTAAGATAAAACTCCTGTATGGGTTAAGAATATATAACCACAAACACAACATGATGACAAAGGGAACAAAACAATATAGAACCAAAAACAACCTAAGAAAACAATTGCCAACCAATCATATTGTATTTGAAAAGTGTACCTGACAAATGAGTTTCATGCCTTTAATCACCTTTTTTTTGGCAACAAAAATGGGATAAAAAAGAAACAGTAAAAAAACAAGGAAAAATCCAGAAAGAAAAAGAAAGCACAATATCCAAACAGATGCTTAATGAGAAAAAAACCCCATTCAGCTTAGTAAGTTGTTTTCTAGTATCAGCTTTTTGAGTCACATGCAAACCAATTCAAATACCTTACACATAACTAGATCCCCAAACTACAACATTGATTTGTCTCTAGGAGATCTCAAACTAAATACACGAGTAGTGTTTCTGATAGCCACATCATGGAACTACAGGTTTGCTATCCCATGCATCTCTCGCTTCAAGTAAATGCGGACAATATCGCTTTGCTAGAATATCAACTTGTTCAGCAAATGATTTGTTCCCTTGGTGGCCAATGTGTAGAACCATTTGATCCCAACGCTTCCGACATACATCTCCAGATCTGTGGTCAGGAAGATCATCCCAGTACACATCTTCTGTGCAGCATGCATCAAACTTAAAAAGTACATCAAGCGGGCGATAGTCTTCAGTGTCAGCCCACATGCCTTCAGCTACCAGATATGATGTTAATTGTTTGTACCATTTTCTACATCAAATTGCACCGGGTCTAGTGGATAATTTGTCACTAATTGAACCCCAACAAATATTATCTCGTAACATACCTTGCTTATATTTCTTTTCCTCAAAAGTTCTCATTTGCATATCCGAATTCACTAAATCAAATAAAGTCTGGTACTCCTCCTGGGACCAATGTCCTTTCTTCATGTTAATTAATTTTATGCTGCACTATGTACCCTTCATGTGAACAATATGTTTGCCAAGTTCATCAGCCAATGACTTCCAATCATTCCCATGCTTTTCCTGGTACTTGCGGATAAGCTCATACTCTTCTTTAGTCCATTTATATTTCTCACCCCTTACAAACAAAATATGGGGGTGATAAATGGCAGAATAAGGTCTGTGAGGTAAGGCAGCTCCAATTTTTTTCCAACAGTTTTTTATTTCGGGGTTGCGAGCTAGAGTGCATAACCATGTTCAGACCTTTTCACCCAAGCCATGTACCTCAATATAGTTAATAACAGCCTCTTTAACTTTAACGATTTAATCTTCTTCTCCTGAAAACCTCTTACCTCGTACTAAGTTGTCTTCCCAGGTTTTTCCCTTCCCAGTACTTGGAACATCTGACAAAGGTTAATTTCCACATGATCAGAAAACCTAACTTTCTTCAATTTTCTTTTACCTTTGGGATTTTCGAAACCACTTTCAACTTCTTTGCCCTTCTTCCTCGTGCAAATATTATCCTTTTTGGCCTCACTGTCCTGTGTTTTATTTTTTTTTCTTCTCCCTCTTCCTCTTCTTTGATTCAAAATTCCCTTCAACATTATAATAGTCACCCATTGATTTTCTAACTTCTTTACCATCTTGGGCTTTTCTTTTCCCCACAACTTCACAATCCTCATTATCCTTTCTCCATTTTTTCTTCTTTCTTTTAGTAACCCATTCTTTCCATTCTTCTTTTTAATGATATCTTCTTTCTCAGAGCTTCTGTGCCCCTTAACTCCCTCATCTTTACCTGTAATCTCATTTTCAAGAATTTTCACGGAAGATGAAACAGTAACACTTCCATTTTGCTTTCTCTTCTCCTCATGCTTCTTTCTTTTGTCTTTTCTTGGCTTGAACTCGATATCACTCTCTAAATTTATGCAAGCATTTGTTTCCAAGCTCCTATTCCCTTCTTCTTCTACAGTTGTCGTTTCATCCAAGATGTTTTTATTTCCACCAGATTCCAATTTTCTCTTCTTCTTTTCCTTCTTCTGATATTTGCCATTCTGTAGATCACCATCGCCTAGCACAGAATCCTTCCTATTTATAGCTTCATCATGGAAACCATTAAGTGAAATATCACCACCACCCTCATGTTTCATCTTTTTCTTATCTACTTTGATCAATCTGATATTACTTTCCAAACCCGTAGTTGCCACATCTATGCAGTCAATTACCTCTTCACTGGATTCTAATTTTCTATTCTTCTTCTTATCCTTTCTCTAATTTTTTCTCTATTTGAAAATCACCATCCACTTTCATACAACCCTTACAATTTACAGCTTCCTCATATATACCATCAAGTTCAACAACACCACCAACCTCACGTGTCTTCGTGTTTTCTTTCCCTTATCTTTCTCTCGCCATTTCAAATTATTTTCCACCCCCGTGGAAACTGTGCAGTTCATTACTTTTACCAATTCTTTTCTTTTATTGGACTTCTTCCCATCTTTGAAGCACGACCTCCTCTACTACTCTCAAGTCTATGCTCGGGTTAAACCTCAGTCAGGTTTGTGCACCAGTTATTTCTGCAGATAAGAAAAACCATATAGATGTATCAAAAGAACAATGGTGGAATGGAAGCCTCTTCATACAATGAACGGAACACTCATAAAAAAACAGTAATTATCACCCCCTCCTCCAACAAGTTTGTTTTTCTCCTTATTTTGCCTAACCCCGATATTAAACACCATAAAACCGAGAGCATCCATTCACGGTTCTGACATTGTAAGCTATAATCCCCTCATTCCATAACTTTATATCCCTTTCTTTTTGCAGAAACAGATTTACTTCTTGAATCCTATAACTTTTTATCTTGCACTCTATAGAATTGCAACATTAACTTTAGAAAATAAAAGCTCATACCAAACTTATTCCTTAAATCCATAGGCTCAATATCATTACTTTTCTTATACTAGAACGAGCTCACTCAACACCCAAATTAAGGTTATTCCAGACCAGAGTAACCCTGGAATATTTGAGGCCTTATGTCACCACAAAAGGCATAAATCTGAAAAAAATGCTAACAAATATCTTCCTGAAAAAAATATATTCATTAGAGAAGATAGAGAGATGTAAAACTGCATATAACTATACAGGTTATGTAACTACTAACTAGGTTAAGCGAGACAGAATTCAAAACTTGCAGCCACTTCCAGGAGAAAATATTGGATATAACGATTACACCATATCAGCAATACCACTACTAGAAAAATACACAGAAATGTGAACAGGAAGTTGAACCGAGAGAGAGAGAGAGAGAGAGAGAGACTTGCAGTTACAATACAGAGAGACTTGCAGTTACAGAGAGAGATCGTGGAGAAGGAGTCCCTATGCAAGACCGAAGCTGGACCAGATCCGCTGCCTGTTCGTGCGTCACTGCGAAGTGGCGAGAAGACCCGAGAAGTGGAGATTCAGAAATCATCACACCGATCGAATTCAACTAGGGCAAAACTGAACCGATTTAGGGCAAAAAAAAGGGAATTTTTGTTTTTATATTATACTTTTCACCTGAACCGTCCGGTTTGAAACAAACCATCTGGTTCACTGATTCTGATAATTGTACAACTGGTCTACTGGTCTAACATCGGTTTAAGCCCCAATTCATCGGTCTACCAGTCCGATTCTGATAATTGTTGGGAGCGAAAGAAATCTGATTTTTAAGGCACAAATTATATTTTTATAACGGAAAGTCAACCTGGCAGAATTTGCTAAACACGCTCGGTTTGTATAGTTTTGATGAAAAACCTTTGGATTAAACAATTTTTGGAGGGATTTTATTCTTAATCGATCCAAATACTAAGTCAATCCAGTCTAGACACCGGGTTGAGCAATAAATCTAATAGTACTCTATAAAATAAAAAGCATCTTTCATAATAAGATTTTTTATTTTTATCAATTTATTATTTTATGTTTTGTTCTTTTTATGAATAAATTTGACTTCTGTCCTTTTTTCGCTCATTTTTTTTCATATCGATAGATATTATATTTTCAATGGGATAATCTCAAATTACATCTCAAAAAATCATTCAAATATCAATTTATACCTTCAAAGATAAAAAATTTTAATTTACACCTTTAAAGATAGAAATTTGTTGCGCTCTTTAAGTTAACCGTCAATTTACCGTTTAAAACTAAATAGATAATTTATACCTAGACCTCCTCATATTTGTCACTTAATCATTTAGATCCCTTACATTTGAAATATTATACCCACTTCCCTTTAAAATTCAAATGTGACTAAAAATGTTCCTCTAATTGAGCATTCACATAATTCTATTTAGGTGATGTATTGTATCGAATATCAAGAATATTATATAAATACCTGCACTATATTGGGTATTCAAATGATAAGCTTAATTTTAAATTTTAGAATATAACGGACTTACAAAATAAATGGTAGTATGAAAATTATATTTTTTTATTATAATGAAATCATATTTTTTAATAGCTATATTAACAGATATCAAGGACAATGGATTATTTGTTACACATGCACAAACATTAGGAGGTATAGGAGTAATATTCTAAATGTGAAGAGATCTAAATGATTAAGTGACAAATATGAGGGAATTTAGGTGTAATTTATTTATTTAGTTTTAAACGGTAAACTGACCGCATTTAATTTCAAGTAGAAGTGACAAATGGGTGGGTTGGGTTGGGTTAAATTGGATTGAGTTAAAATAAATTTAATTTATTTTTCACTTATGTAATAAATGAGTTATAATGAATTGAGTTTATAACGAGTTGAGTTAAATCGATTTAACCCATAAAATAATTAAAATTCTTAATAGAAATATTAGTACACAAAAATATACACACATTAGTAGTACACTAAAATACAAATATATACACACTAATACACCAAAACACACACACAACTAATACACTAAAAATATACATAATACACTAAAATACACAAAAAAAAAAAAAAACTAAAACACATTTAATAAAAAAAAATACACACATAATTGGTTGGGATCAATTGTGAGCTATCAGTTGATCAGTGGGTCATGGACGCACGAGTCATGGGTCAATATATGGGTGGACCAGTGGGGTCATAGGTAGTGTATTAGTATGTGTATTTTTTGTAAAACCCAAGCATACATGCATAATACGTGGATAAAAAAAATTAATAAAATATTTTTATAGTGCATGTTTTAATATACATGAAAAAAAAATTAAATTAAAGATTAAATTAATTTTTGGATTCAAGGTATTTATAGAAATACCATTGCATGACATTTCTTCCAAGCAGTTGCCTAGCAGCAGGAGGCTCCATGTCTCTCTCCAACACTCTGGAAGGTTTGAGGAGGTGTTGAAGACTTCTTTCATATCCTAAATGGATAGAATTCATTTTGTAGAGACAAAAACATAAGAGACAAAGTAGAGAGAGAAAACCTTCATTTTAATTTTTGAGTTTGCTTTGGAGGCTTATTCGATCATTCAAAGGTATACTTCTAGTCTAGTTTGGATGCTAGGAATTCATTGGTATTGTTAATTTTTGATTTGGGTAAGTGGTTGTGCTCGAATTTGAGTTTTAAAGTTTCGGATTTTAAGTTTTCATGAAATGAGTCTCGTAGAATACGAGCCTTTCTTTTTCAATGGAGTCTTGAGTTGTATTTTTGGGTTGTTGTAAAGTTGTTTGGTAGTGGTTTTACGGGTTGCCGTGGTGTGTGGTGATGGGATGAAAAAACCGTCATGGGTTTGAATTTTTAAAAATTTAATTTTTGATAAACTTGATTAAGTTTTGAAAGGGGGCCTGAGTCTAGCTAATTTAGGATCAAAGAACCCATTTTGGGCCTTGGAATTAGATTTAGATGTCATTTTGGGGCTGAAACGGGTAGTTGCAGGTCTACCTTTGTGTGTTAAAAAATGATTTTTTGGCTAACTTTGATCAATAATTTGATGATGTTAGAGTTAAATTCAAAAGCTAATTCTAGGGGGGGGGATTAAAACTAGGTTGTTCAAAGAGTATGTGGGCATTGAAATCAAAGAAAATAGTGTACTATAGTGGGAGAACTTTGGGGTTAAAGTGGGGTGGTTGAGCAGAAAATTATGTACTTAGGACAAAAGTCAAACTAATTAAAGATTGAAGATGAAGTGGGGTGGGGGACATTAGTGGACTCCGACGGAAATTTTGGGCACGTACAACCTCTGATTCATGCCAAAAGTTTCGTAACGTCCTTGCAGAGGTCTTGGTACATATTTAAGTATATCCAATGGTCGAATCAAAATGAGAATTAAAATGACTGTTTTAGTCTCTAGGGTCAATTTGACCTAGTTTTTGAGTATTTTTGGAAAATAAATCTTATATTCATTCTTAGGTAGGTAAGTTGAGTATGTGTATGAAATTTCATTAAAAAATAATTTAGTTTTATTTTTGGCTATTTCGGATAAAAAAACAGTGCATGGTATGATTTCTCAATTCCAAATTAATCGAAGTTTTTCAAATTCATTTTGAAATTATGTCTTATATTATTTATGAATGTTTAGCATATTTTAAAACTTATAATTGAATTTTTGAATTAGGGCTGAAAATCACGGATCCGAACTATAGTTTTGAGTGCGATAACATACAGTGGTCCGAAACAATGGTTTTGATTATATAAAATGAGATTGCAGAATCCTTTTAAAATAATTGTAAGTGCACATAGATTGAGTGGCAAAAAAAGTTTACATTCTAGTTTAAGGTTATAAAAGGTACTCATTGATTTAATTGCATTAATTAATTTATTTTTTGAGTCGATACTTATTTGCATTTGTGGATATGTAAATTGTTCGGGTCGAAGGCTATTACATCAGTTCCACCTAGGGATTGAGCATAAAGCTAAGTGGTGTGTTGGTTAGCGATGACAAGTGAAGTGTACTGTTTCATAATAATTATAAATAAAAGTATATGATTATTATGAGTTATTTCACTATGTGCAATGAAGTTTTGATTACTTAATTTATGTTGAATTGAACAAATGATGGATCAAATATATTTTGTTGAAAAGCTTGTGATTTATTGAAAAGCTTGTGATTTGTTAAAAAACTTGTAATTTGAGTAGTATCTACTGTGCTACCGTTGTTGATAATTTGATATAACTTACATGTTGTT